ACTTGTCGAGCGATAGGGAGGATGAAAAAAAGCCTACGAAGCAAATGACATTCTCTTCAAGATGTCAGGTGGTGCTGGAGAGAGAGATTGGCCGTTCTACAGTTCTACACGTTCCTACCTCGTTTGTCACCTGCCCTGCCTATTCAGGTCTACATCGATGCACACACATCGAATGCCTCTGCGCGGGAATGCCGGGGGGAACATGTGACACATGATAAGTGGAATCCTGCCGACAAGAGTTTTTGTATCACACAGGGAACTTCTTGAAATGATCGGGAATGAACGAAACCAGGGATGCCGGGGCGGAATGCTGGCATCTGTGAGTGGATCCTGGCCGACACCGAACATCACTGGAGAAATAGAGCTAACCAGTCGGAGGTTCCAAACCTTGCAACCCTGCAGCTCTGGCATTTAGTATATTAGGTGTTTGGCTCCACGCTCCAGTTTCTTTGGATCAAAACACATGGATAGCCGCAGGAAATCTCACTGGCACAAGCATCCTTGAGCTGCCAAACCTCTGCTTCCTCTGCACACAGAGACCCCCAAAACCAACCTACCGCCTGCGAGCATAGAGACAAACATCAAAATGTGTCCTGGGGGAAATGATCGGGGAGCACCGATTGGGAATGACTTGGCATCGGGGGGGATCGCTTCACCACCATTCTTCACAGCTCAAGAGATCCTTTGAACGCCATGAAGCCATGTCTGAACTCCCCCCTGAACACCAGGAAAATGGTTGGAAGGGCCACCCAACTGCATGTGGCGAATGGGGCCAGCATGGGCTGTACGTCCTTTTTCCACTGCAGGGCGGATTCAAGGCATCCAGGGCGAAGCCTTGAAGTGGTGTCGGGTTCTCGATACGAAGCCCAACAGGTCACCCTTCGTCCCACTTTCTTCCGGATGAAAACTCGAACAGCAAGAGCTTGGATTCAGACAAAAACACGAAGCTCAATGCATTCCACCCCTGTTCACCTCTCTCCCACACGCCGTGCGTCCTGAACGCGTCCTGTGTGCCCGCGCCGATGTCTCTGGCCGCCAGCTCGGCGGCCAAGAACTCGCCTCCGACCTCCACGGCGAAGCACCTCGAGCGACATGAGCCAGCCCAGCCCAGCCTTGAGGAACACATGAACCGCCATTGGAGATGAAATCGGAACGTTTTCTGGTGAGGTGAGAAGCAGTGAGCAACGCGAGGCAAACGTTCTGGGTAGCGCTTTCCAGCTTGTCCTTCTCAGTCTGCTTGTGGGTCAAGCATGAGATGGCAGCCAACGTCTCCACTCTGAAAACCTCCTACAGAAGTTCCAAAATGGGTGGTGCCTCCATCAAGTAGCGTTTGTCGCGACATGCCCGTGGCATCCCACCAACACTGCGTCTTTCGCACCGCCCCATTGAAAGGAGGCCATGCGAATGCTGAGAAGGGTGGGTTCAATCAGGGGGAGGAGGCCCCGGGGAGGCCATCGCTAGTAGATTGGAGGCCATTGCTATTGGAATGCTTCGGGTGGGCCTTGATGCCAGTTCTCATGACGGCCTTGTCGGTCTCAGCGCCACAGCGAGCTCGACACCGCCCGAATGGAAGGGAAAAAATCTGGGTGACCGGTGGCCCCAGCTGGGCCGGCAACGGGTGCGTGCATTCGTTTATTCAGGGTGTGTGTGCCATCAAGGGGACCACAACCTCGAGCTTTGCCGCGCACCCTGTGAATGCAAGGTGGTGCTTGGCGGACCCCACAAATAAGGGGGGGGCGCCTTAATTAAGGAATGTGAATTTTCAACAAGACACCTTAAACTTTGGCAGCCAGAATCCTGATGTTTTTCTGAATTTGTGGAGAAGTCCTGTAGAGGACTAATTGATGTGGACCAAAATCCTTTAGAGGACAGCTGGTGGTGTGGAGTAAATGCCTTGGAGGATTGCTTGTGGCGTGAATTTTTAATTGCCAGAGCTGAAGTACAGGCATTGTGAGTTTGCAGAAGCTTGTGAGAGTCTAGGCTCAAGCGTATAACATCCAAAATGGATAGCAGTAGACACATGAAGCCTCTATGGAGGATTTGTGTAAACATTTGAAGCTGCATCTTTCCAATTGTCCCACTGCTGCCTTCAAAACCTGGTCAATGGAGGAAATGGTGCAGGAACATAAAGAGCTGGTCAAAGAGTTGCTTCTTTTGACTTGCAAACTAAATGCTAAGTGGCTGGATGCTGGTTTGCGAGATTCTTTTCAAAAGATTTCAAAAGCTACAGCCAAAGCTTGCCAATGACTTCAGCAGGAGATTGAATGATGCTGTCCATTTATGCTTTCAGAAGTTCAGGCAGCAAGTATCTTGGGTTGAAGCTGCCACCTTCTGTAAAACGGATTTGTGCGCTCATCAAGTGTCTTTTTAATTCCTTGAGCTTCCTTTTTGGGAGTGCTGAGTGCGCAGGAAAAATACAGCCCAGGAAATGAGATCATGAGCTGAGCGTAGAAAACATTACCAGCATGTATCATTTGCTCGATGCCCAAGTGGCACAAGTGCAGGGCAGGAGTTCAACAGCTTCTTTTGGAAAGCGTGAGCCAGCAATGCCGGCAGTGTACCAAGATGAAGCTTCGATTGTGCGCTTCGTCAGCGATTCGAAGAGGGTTGAGCCAAAGGTTGGGAGCAAAGTTTCTGAAGTTTCAGGCTATCCCTGCTGTGGAAGGTCCGACCCCTGCGAACTGGAGGGTGCCAGGATTCGTGTGGTGACGGTACTAGTTCCGCAAAACAAAGCAAGGTGGAGCCGCTTCTCTTCCGAGACCCCTTTAACCTGGTCAGTGTCCGGATTGGTTCACCTCGCTGGATTGCCTTCCCATCTAGTGCAATGACCGAAAACCAAGGTCCTAGACAGCGTTTGCAGGTTTCACGTCTAAACCCCACATGAACCCCAAAGCGATCTCTCCAAATCGACTGCGCCAAGGCACTGGATGATGCCATACATCACCCCGATTCCCGAGCAAAAGAGGCCGCAGGCCTGGCCAAACTCAGCGACTCGACCCCCAAAAGGCTCCGATGGAGCATCCCACATGTCCCACATTTGGTCGTTCCGAGCGCCCCATGCTTTTGTCCTTTGTGGCGCGCCAACGGCCCAGCCTGGCATAGCTTCTTTGGCAAGGACCGCCGCGGGTAGGGGTCAGACTTCACGGTGAAGTCGCCAGTGACACCTGGCGAGTCTGGCAGACGGCTGAAAGACGTCGATGCGGGACACATGGAGCTTCAACCCAGCGAGGGCGTCCAAATTGGAGATTGGGTCAGCGAGGCGAAGAGATGAGGTTGAAGGGGCATTAAGCTAATAGATTGGGCTTCCTAATAGCGAGGCGAAGCTGCAATGCGCTACGCCGCTGCGGCTGGGGCCCGTGCTTCGGCCACTCCGGCAAAGCCTGCGGGTCGGAGCAGTGGCACAGCTGTGTTCATCTGAGACGTCGTCGTGGGGCATGACATCTCGCATTAATGTGTCAACAGCCTTGGACTGCCTGAAGAATCGCAAAGGTCTTGGCAGCTGAACCCACAACACTCCCTTGTTTGTTGCGGATGTCCAAGTGCAAGGCACTAGAAAAAGGATCTTGCCTCAACCGAACCAAACCGACGGTCTTGGGAGCCGGGCTGGAGGAGCTCCTCCCCTTGCTGCTTGTTCAGCAAAAGGACCTTGCCATGCGGCATGCGGATGAGAAGTCTAAGATCACAAGCAGGCACAAGCAGTCACAAGCACACGCAAACACCGAAAGTTGAATCACTTTGGGTTTTTCCCGGTGGAGGTGATTTTGGGTGGGTCACCTTGTTTGAACATCACAGCAAAAGGTTGGTCCAAACCCGGAGTCATTCCCTACAACCAGCACAATGCACCCAGCTCCTCTCCCCAAAGGGCCTCGGGAAAAGAAAGAAACGACACTTACAATTAACATACCAAGATCCTGTGCCCCACATAGAAGTTCTGATTGATTTGACCCCCATGAAGCCCAAAACGAAAACCCCTCCAATCTAAGGCCCCGACGGGCACGCTCGGGAAGCTACAGCTACCCGTGGTACAGGCGATGCCTTGCAGCTCGCTCGGAAAAGGCTGGTTCAGCATGTTGGCAAGGGTACCATTGGGCAAATGATCAATACAAGCAACATATAAACACACAAACACACAAAAAACATATAACCCTAGGATTCGTTCGAACGACCATTGTTTTAATGGTCTTTACCCAAGAACCATTGTTTTACACCACCAGGTCAACCATTCTTTTTATGGTCGAACTGAAGGCTCGGGTATAAGCCAATGACGTGCCATCTGGTGCACTTGCCAAAACCCAGATATCCTGGGACGATGCGAACGTAGCAAGGTCCTATGCCTGGGCAGGACGTTGCTTTTCCTATGAAGTAGGCAAGTAGCTTTGTCCTCCCTCTACAATGGCCATCGTTTGTTCTTGAAGTGTTGAAGACACTCCACTGGCCTGGCCAAGTGTACAAGGACACTGCCCCAAACCCGAAGATGACAGCGTTCCTTCCTTCCAGAAAGGCGACGATGCCCAGTTAAGCCAGATGTGTATTGGCATTTCGCCATGCGCCATGTTGCCAATTAGGCTATAACATGCTATAACCATAAAGCAATTGGTTGGAGGCCATCGCTCTTAGGTTGGAGGCCATCGCTAGCCGCAAGTAGGTTGTACACTTGGGAGGTCTTTCGTTCTTCGTCTCTCCCACCAAACAGTACAAGCCCATCGATGTGGAACCCACCAACCCGTTCTCGACCCGTTCTCGGTGGCCCGGACGGAGCTCGCCCCAAATGGTGGCCACGCCAATGCGGCCCACCGGCCTCGGAAGAGGGAGAAACCAAGGTGCCTGGTAGCAAGGTGCCTGACTAGTAGTAACAAGAAGCTACTATACAACTGGACCAGTAACCTAGGGGGTGGTGATGTAGTAACAAGAAGCTACTATATAGTAGCTCCTGGCACAACCGAAGCCCTATCTTCCAGTCCCCGCCGCTCCCCGCCGCTCCCCGAAGCCGCACCGGTACTTTCCTCACGGCTCACCGGTCCTTGCACGTTTCGCAGGCGGCTCGGGCGCGGAGGCGGAGGGCAGGGCCATGGCAATGAGATAGTGCCGCTTGATGTAGCCCTGCATCGGCGGAGCTGAACGACCAGCTGGCGGACAACATCTCGAACGACGTCGAGCTGGATTGGTGAGGCGCTACGTTGGGCCTCACCAAAGCAGCCAAGAGCAAGAACGACGATGGACTCTGGGCTGAGTAAAACCTTTGGTACTCTGACAAATGTTCTGACACATGTCTCATGTTCTGAAAACATGCATTTCTGGACTCGTTAACTCGCTTGACCAATGATCAAGCTTTGGGAGGTGAGGTAGGGTTGGACGGTGAGACCACGACATAGGTCTAAATCTGGTGGAGTGCTGAGCGGAGAAAAAACAAAGGATGGGTTTGTCAAAGCAAAGCAGGGATGGCGTTGAACCCCAAAGGGCTTTACTAGCAAGAAGCTACTAGCAACAAGTGCATTGCTACTAGTAACAAGGGTATCGCTACTAGTAGCTAGAGTATGGAAATGAGTTTTCCCGATCTCTCTCTGTAAATGCTTTTGGAGGCCGAGAAGAAAAGCTGCGAATTCACATCCTGATTTGGATGGAGACGAAGGACCAGTCGGACAAGAAAAACAATCTTTTCTCTCACTTGCATATTGAAGACTTGTCTTGGATCAAAGACCCTCACCAAGAGACACGGCTTGTTTCCAGCACCAAAAGACATGTGAAAGCAAGCAGTTGCCCTTGGATCCTCCGGAATTGGACGCCAAAGTCCGATCTCCATCAAGTGAATCTTCCTGTCAAAAAGAGGGCGATACTTAGTCCCTTGAAGTGCTCAATTTTACCCCCTCACATGTGGTGGATGACTATCAGTTGGGGTAGTTCATGAGGCCAATCGTGGAAGTTCCGACCCTGCAAGGTTTCGGAAAACAACCAATGTGCGTGTCCGACAGACACATGTGCGCGCCTGATGCTTCCCATCCTTGTAGGACACCAAGACATATTCTCCTTGAAGGGAACAGCTTTTGGAACATCTTTGGAATCTGTTTTCGATCTTCTTCGAAGCAGGTTCTTCTCCACCAGGTCTCTCTCCAACCATTGAATCCCTGTTGACGGGACCCGAAAAAAGGAGCACCATGTCATCATGGCATCGATATCTTTGTGGCTTGTCATTGCACCATGGGTTAACATTGTATCATTGATTCCTCATTCCACATGCTTTTCTTTTTTAACGTTCCACGCTTATCAAAGGATGTCACCAATCTCAACCACCATGATCAGTTATGTGGATGAGTGCCGTTTTTTTTTCTGACTGGAAACACGGTTCACTTCGTCATCCAAACCACCACAAACTAATTTGCTTCCTCTTCCTCCTTCCTCTTCTATCCCTTCACGTTCTTAGATTGGAGGCCGCTTTTCCTTCCTCCTTTCTCCTTCTCCCTCCTCGTCCATCCGGGTCCAAATCTCCGTCCTTCCACCATCTCCTCCGCCTTCACTGCCACACCCTCGCCGCCCGATGGACCGCGCGACGGAAGAGGGCACGGGCGCAGCCGGTCGTCGCAGGTGAGGCGCCAAAGCTTCGGTCCCTAGGACGGCGGAGAACTGGACGAGTGACGGGGGGGGGGGTAGAGTGAAGCAGGATTCTTTTGGATGGAATCCGTGCCAAAGGAGAGCACTGATTTAAGGGGCAGGGATCCGAGATTTTTGGTGAGTTGATCATGTGAAAGTTTGTTTGATTTGCTTGCCTCGAGTTTGGTCTGTTTCTCGGTGAGTGGATAGGCAGGACATCCACCCACCTTACGCTATGAAATGAAGGTGAGCTGCTGAACCCAACTGTGGTGGATCTGGTCCTCTTATATTTGGTCCCTGTGACCTCTGGTGGTTTCTGGCCTGCATTTGCTGGTAAGGCTCCCAGCAACTCTGCCAGCGGAGATCACCTCAACCTTGTTAGGAGCTCACGGGACCGAAGTGACTTGAACGGTTGGTGTTCCAAGTGGCGTCGTCGTTGTCCGAGACCTGGCATCCTCAAAGAACCACGGTTCCGGATCCAACGGCGGCGGTCCATCTACGTGTCTGACCTGTACGGTGGCCGGTCTGTCCCGGTTGGACGTCCGACTCTTCGCTGGTTCCGAATTCGTCACTCCACCGTCCCTCGGCCTCTTGCCGCAGGTTCCTGAAGCGCAGAAGACCTTGATCTGTTCCTCTCGCTGAGCTGGCGGCTGATCCAACGCTGCATTTTGGGTGTGACCCCTTTAACCAAACGCTGGCCGGAAACGGGGGGGAGGTCGAGGGAAGAAAGTGCGTCAACTTGAAGTTGCAAGACCCTCGATTTGACCCAACTTGAATAGTCTTAGGTAGGAGCCCATCGCTAGTAGGTTGGAGGCCATCGCTCTTAGCTTCTTCCCCCCTTTCATTGCCTTGACAAGAAAAGAGGTCACTTGGGTCCCTCTGGAGCCGGACGGCCCGCGAAGTCGGCTGGAAGGGCGTCGCAAATGCAGGAGACCCACCAAGAAGGACCCTCTCGGAAGGAACAAGGGCATCGCTACTAGCAAGAACGCTACTAGTAGCTCCTGGCCTTACTACTAGGAGCAAGAAGCTAGTAGGTTGGAGGCCATCACTTTGAGCCATCTACTTGGAACTTACAGGTGTCCTCCCTTTTCTTCCCGTTCATCCCGAACTGTCCTCGTTGTAGATACAGCCAATCCCCATCCACCACTGCGCCGTTGGGCACGAGGCACAAGATATTCGAGGGGCTGCGATCACCTCGGGCTATGGTCACCAGGTCCTTTAGTCAAATCCAGGAGTTGGAGTTCCAACGGGAGACAACCTCCACCTAGTAGCTAGCTTCTAGTGGCGGCCTCCAACCGACTTGCGATGGGCACCGAGCATAGCCTTCTTGTTACTAGTGTGCAGGAGTTGGAATTCGAGAAATGGGATTACACACGCACACACGCATTGTTCATCGATGACCCCATATGAGGGACCCCATGCTCCGTTTATTCTGTATTCTTAGTTGTTCTTTGTCCGATCTCACGTCTTTATCTGAAGTAAGGGCGGGCGAAAAAAAAACACACACAGGTCTAAAACTTGAGGTCTTAGAAACGTCTCATTTCCGACAGAAACCTGCTCCGAAAACCTTCCATTGTTCACCCCTCCGCGTGGCTGGAGGGTCTCCGGCGGAGCCACGCGCCGTCATGGCCAGCGTCCAGCACGGCCCAGCGCTGGCCATCGTGGCCCGGGCTCCTGTCACGTGCGCGGCAGAACATATCACGTGATTCATCAAGCCGAAACAAAGAATCACTAAGAAGAAGCTATATCACCTATTCGCCAATTATCACTTATATCACAAAACAGAAGATATACACATAACCTATATAGAACCCAAACATGACCCCTGTTTTGATGGGTTGAGGGTCTGTCTGATCTTTTGGGCGGTTGATGGTCTAAAGTGGAAGTCACTCATGTATATATTAATATACACATGTTATACAGGTCATCTTATGTCTACATGGAGCAGTTTGGTCTGTTCTTGACTTTTGGGCTTTGGTTTGGGGGAGGCAAGGACACCCACCAACTCGAACTGGGAAACAAGAAGCTACTGGTAACCAAGGGCATCGCTAGGAACGGAGCGATCGGACACTACGAATGTCGCTCCTGGCATCGCTACTAGTAACAAGAAGCTACTAGTAACAGTAACATCACTCCACACCATTCCGTGGCACTGGGAGCGCCAGATTCCCTCCTCCCCTTCGCACCTGAGCGCTCGCGCCAGCTTCGCCAGCTCCACGGGGTCCGGCGTGGGCTCAATGCGCAAGCTGCGCTCCTCGCGGTGTGCGCTGTTCGAAGGAGGGAGCAAACAAAGACTTCAGAAGCTTCTTAAAGCTAAAAATCACTGGGGATGGGTCCAGAGCTGGAGCCCTGGGCCATCATATAGCAAACGACCTTTCAGCTGGGTTCAACCAAGGTAATTTCTATCTGGTCTTGCCCCACAGCCCAACATCTCAGCCACCAGCACGGAGATCCTAAGTTGGACGGGACGGAGCGAGGAACTGCCTGGAACCCCGGTCCCAACCAGAAACAGTGCTGGTTATTCCAACATGGCAATTGAAATCCTTTACATAGGAAATGGCTGGGACTGGGGGAACATCCATTTCTTTCTGGTTGGGACTGGGTGAAACCAGGTGGGAGGGGTTCTTTGTTCCGAACGAAGACTTTTCACGGGACCAGTGGAAAGTCCTTCAGATGGACAAGCTCCGAAGTCGGACGACACTTGATGCCGCCTTCGATGGATGATTCGAGGGTGCCACTGGACTTTGGTTTCTTTCTTACCCGTCAAGTGCTCCTGTGACCTGCCTTTTTTGGTCCAGGGGAACACCCGGACCATCTTGGTCGTTTCAGTGGTCTTCCCCTTTTCATCCCTTTTCCGGCAGGGCAACTCGGACAAACCGACCAAAAAGAACTACTCAAGTGTTCAAGAAGCATTTTGCTCTTGGTGGTGCCTCACGATCTTGTCATCTTCCTCAAAGGTGCTTCTTCACCCCTTCGCTTTCCATTTGCAGTATAGTGGAACACTTCTACTGACTTTCCCTATGACCATCTTAGACTCGACTGGGCCCAGATCGGATCCGATTTTTCCCACACTCAGCGAGCTTCAGGCACTGGGTCAGCGTGCGCCCGCGCTTCGCGCGTCAGCGCTGACTGCCCCACCCCACCCCCTGGCGCCTTCACCGGCTTCAAGTGCTTCACCTTGACGTACCCGCCGCGCTTCTCACCGCGCCGCATGCAGAAGAGGAACTCTCCATCCACCAGCTCCTCGGGCGGAGTGACCGAGGGTTCGGACCGAGGGTCGTGCAGGTAGAAAGGGGGTACAGGCTATAGCAGGTAGAAAGGGATAGCGGTAGCAGTCCAGAACCATTCTCAGATCCTATCTTTATACACATCATGGCTGATGTTTCATTGTACATGGACCTGGCCTGCCTTTGTCGCCATCGAATCCATTTTGACGATGTTGTGAGCTCGGGTCGTCTGACACCAAAGGCACTCCACGTCACGCCACGACCAAAAACTGCGGTCACCCCAAACGCTCTGCTCACAAATGCCTACCTTCAACAGAGATCGCCCCCCCAAAAAACACCGCAATTGAGCAAGGGTGCACCATCCATGGCATAGCCCACCACATTCTGGGCTTCCTCCTGGCCGGAGCGACAACCCTCGGATGGGCGGACCGAGAGCGCCGACGCGCACCAGGCGCACCTGTCGCGCACCACGGGGACGCCCAAAACGAAGGGGGTGACCTTTCCATCGCTCGAACGCCCGCTGTGGATCGGTCCGCAGGGTGGAGTCCAAGTGGGAACACTGGCCGCCCGCACTTGATCTGCTCTTCCAGGTTGTGCAGGTTCCTATGTCATTCACTTATGACCGCCCCTCCCTCTTCTAATCCACCATCACCAAACACCACAGGATCACGCGAGTGATCACGGCCTCTGTGGGGTGTTTCCGCAAGAGCGCAGTACCAGTAGAGCTGGAGACCAGCCACTTGCTGCCGCCTGCAACTCGAACCAAAAGCAAAACAACACATACCGGGAGCTTCACGTCGGGGTGCCTTCCATAGAGGAAGGAGTTGGGTGCCCAGCTACTCCACATCCACTCACGCCACAATGAGCCACACCACCCAACTCCATGCGACTGGTATGTCGCCGCGGCTGGCCGCGGTGCCTTGAGGCTCCAACTGCCGCAGCTGTAGGAAGCCGGACTCCCTGGAGGCGCGCCTGGCTCCGTCGACGGCGTAGGAGCTGGGAATGGCGACCCTTTGGAGGAACAAGGACGCTATGCTCGGTGGAGGCCATCGCAAGTAGGTTGGAGGCCATCACTGCTGGCAAAAAGAAGCTAATATACAAGTAGTTCCCGGGCAAGCCGGCGGCGGAAGTTTCCTATAGGAAGAAATTGAGGACTCAGCTAATAGTAATCTTGCTAACAGCTGAGTCCAGTAGGGCTTGTCGCCGGCTGTTGACTCTTGGTGACACACGGGGGCGTGCGACGCCTCATGTTCCGAAGAAGGGCCTTGATGAAAGCACGCCCGGTGAGCAGTAGCAGTAGCAGTGACCCTAGGCTTCAACAACTGATCCTAGCAGCAACAGTAGCACTGACGCTAGCAGTAGCAGCAACTCCCACGAAAAGGCACTCCCAACCATCCCAAGCCTGATGAAAAGGAATTCGCCGTAGACGCTATCACCTGACTTCAAGATTGCCACCACGTTCTGTTCGCTGCTGTCCGGGAGCGGTTGCTTGCGCAGGTGCGACTTGATGCCACTCTTGACCTGAAATGATGACACGAAACCGAAGTAATCGGGCCCTAAATGGCGCTCCTTGGAAGGCCATCTTCTACGTCCCAGAGGGCTTTTGCACGTCCCACGTTAGTTACCACGGAGAGTGAATGCCCCACTTCTGCGAGACTTCGAAAAAAGACCTAATCTTTTTGGTTCATTCGCCCACGTCGCTCTTCGACCCGCACGCGTCCCCGCAGCAACTCGTCCCAGCGGTCACCGGTCCGTGTGGAGCAGAAAGCGGTCGTTCGACCGGGCAGGGGAGTTCTGTCGTCAGACGGGAGTGAGTGCTCAGTGGGTCAAGTGGGTCGAACCGTTGACCACTCATGACTTGGTGCCGAACCAAGCTGAACTCGGATCGCGTTCGTTGGGTGTCGATCAAAAACCATCGATCGAAGTTCACAAAGAGTGTCTTGAAGGTCCAAAAGCCGAAAGCCACCCTGAGGCCTCGCACTGAAGAGAGAGAGAGAGAGAGAGTGAGTGAGTGAGTGAGTGAGAGTGAATATCTTCTCCATAATACCTCCAACAGATACACCCGGCAGTGCTTTATATAACACTTTCTTTGTTTTCTTCTCTTCTATAGGGACCTGTCTTTCTCTCTTGTGTGTTCTGATTCTGTTCTTTCGAGAGCACCGGTGACCAACATCTTTACCATTCTGCTTGTTCGCAACTGAACATGTATCTTTGTTTGGGATGTGCTTGCAGGCTACTGGGGGTTTTGGTCCCCATCCAACTGAATGCTTGTGACATCTTGTGAACAAGGCACAATCCATTCCTTGACCATCAGCTGTCTCGAGTGCTAATCAGGCTGCCATGGTATGACTGCTTCTAAGACTGACACTTATTGAAGATTCAATGTGACTGTGCTGGAGGTGTTGCAGCTTACCGCGTGGCAGGCATCAGGGGTGTGACTCAGGTAAGTTAGGCTTTCAAATCAGAATGAGAGGTCTAAGTCTATGAGCTTCTTAATCCCGGCAGAGACAACAAAGACAGACAGTTCTAGTCCAGTCTGTGGAATTTGTCGGATGCAATTTCCTCTCCTCTTACCCACCGCAACGGATCCAGTTTTCTTCTCTCTCTTCCGCAACGGATTGCTTTGGGGGTCAATTTTGAGGGATCAGGCCCATCCCCACTCCCAAAAAGTTCGAGTTTTTGTTTTGGGCGAAAGGACCGCTGATGTCAGGTCATACGCTGATGTCAGGCGATCGCATAGTCTATGTCAGTGCGCTGTCGTGGTCTACCACTTCTTCGAAGCTCAAAAGCTGCGGACCCAAAAGCCGGTGACATGGATTCACATGGCAAATCAAGAGAAGGGTGGCAACCGTGTCAACCAGATCTTATGGGTAAAGAGGGTAAAGTGAAGAGGCTATGTTCTTGAAAAGAAAACGCATTGGCGGATGTGAGGGGGCCATGCACACCCTCAATAATCAGAACACATGTTGTAAACATGACATGATTATTCATCTCTGACATGTATTTTGTATGTCTTTGTCTTCCATGTCTTCCCATTTCTAAGGCCTCATTTCATTTCCAAGAGATTTCTCGTTGGAACACGCGCCATACTCGTTGGAAGGCGGCCTCAGGTCCCGACAGCTTCTCCTGGGCGATTGGGCGCGAAGCTCTGTGAAGGATCGAGAGCCGATCGCGCGGAAAGCATTGAGGTGCCTGACCTAAAACAGCGATGGCCTCCAACAAAAAGACATTTATGGCGCTTTTATTTATGGCTATCCTGATGACTCCTTTTTCCATTGATGGACCATACAGATGGGTTCCGTTCATTTCAGGCTGTGTTTATGCCCTTCCGGTTGTCTTCTTCTTCACTCCTTCTTCACCGTTTCTTGTGGTTCTTTGGATCCCTTTCGCGGATCTCGGTCCGCGAGAGAAGCGAGTTCCGACGCCTCGGAGTTCACCACGAGCAAGGCGGAGGCTCCGGACTGGGCCGCGTTGTGGGCCTCGAGGTGCGGAGCAAGACGGACGGGGCCAACGAAGACGGCGGGACTCGGCGGGCTCCGGATCAACTCATAAGAGACCCAACTCCTATCATTGCTAGGTTGGAGGCCATCGGTTCTGGTTGCAGATTAAAACTCTGGCTTTGACCGGGGGTGCCCAATTCATGCGAGGGAATCCTCGTGTTATGTTGGTGTGAAAGAGAAGGTCCAAACCGAATGTGAGCACCTCTTGTGTGCAAATTAAAGCATTGCCAGGTCCAAACCGAATGGGTACCACTGGAAGATCTCCCTCTTTGCTGTTCCAACCATTCACCAAGTAAACCTGCGTACCACGTCTCGCCAAACGGGGTGATCGCACGTTTCAACTCCGGTCCCTCATTCAGTGTCTGTGTCCACCGTTGGATCCGCCCAAAACGTTTGGTCCGGAGGTGCACCATTCACCTCCTGCACCCGCCTTCAGTGCGAAAGGCGCAAACTGCTCCGGTTGGGCACCTCACTGGCACACACGAGGGCGCTGCCTGCGAAAACCCAAAACTGCTTGACGTGGAGCTCCCGTTTGGACATCCAAACATCCCAACGGGGGCCGGATGAAGCTGCAAGGGCGGGCGTTCGACTCTCCCGGTCGCTGCTGTCGAAGACCCCGTGTGAAGCCGAAGAATGGTGTGCTTCAGCATGTTTGAGCCTGTCCGTGTTCAGACCCTCCAGACGAAGAACAGTGGAAACGCAAGGAGTCAGGACATCCCCTCAAAGATATTCATTGTCTAGATGGCAGATCTGAACATATCCATGCTGGAGACGTTGAATGACCATATCTACGTCCATGTGCTAGACTCCTAGACTTGGTGTCACATCATCCGCATGTGCTTGAATCTATGTACATCCCGCAGTAAGTCCATTCCCTCACACCATGATCCACGATGGCGAGGCCGCAGCATCCACAACGGAAACCCTCTCCCCCGTGGCCCTGCGGACATAGCCCAAATGGCTGCGCAGGGCCACACGGAGTTGGTAGAAGTTGTGAAGGTCCCCAGCGAAAGGCCAGCTAAGGGTGTTGGTTGGGTTCCCAGACCCCCCCCCCGCACAGAACCGGTGTTTCTGGGGGCGGATCAAAACAAACAAAGAACAGGACGAAACCCAATGAAAAGGAAACAACACGTCCGATTCATGTCTGACTGTCATTTTCATGGCTCGGCACACCCATCGTCTGACTGGGTCGCCCGTACCGCCCCGGCGGACCAGCGCCATGAACTGGCCACCTGGGGGGAAGTCCGACGGCGCTGAGCGTTAGAAGAGAAGAGCTTCGGTGATCTGCCATAGGTCATTTTGTAGGGTTTTGGTGGACCAGGGTGGCTGAAAAGCAGGTGGAAAAGCGTGGTTCTAGGTGCTTGGAAAAGGAAGAAAGGGGGGGGCTCTGAACTCCGATGGACGTCTCAAAGAAGCATGAATATACCTGGATCTTCCAACTGTGACAATTTCTGCATCTTGCCATGTCTCCAAGTGACTCGAGGCGTCCAGTGACCCCAATTACGCGTTCTACCCATGCCTATCTGGTGTCCAATAGATCTTCAAGATGATTGACCCGTGGAACTCCTTGTTTTAACCCTCCATGCCTTGAAACTCAACCCTCCGATAACCTAAGTTTCCCTAAAAACTCGAGGAACCCAATGGAAAATGCGAGCTATCCTGAGGGCCGGGGGGAGCTCCGGCCGAAGCGTTTTCGCTCTCCTGTGTCCAGTTCCTAGCAGCTTAAGTAAGGTACTAGCTACCTCTCCCTTACTTCATTGAGTCGGAAAGAGGGGGGAGCGGGCTCTAAAAAGAGCGTCGACGTCGACGCCTGGTGCGCCTTTGGGATCTCACGTCGATCATTGATGGGAACAGACCAAAACCCGCCCCCGGCATTCATTTTCGCCGATCCCAAGGGCCCCAAGGATTCGAGAGGGGGAAAACGTGTCGAATAGGCACGCACTGGTTCCGTCTTTTCCTCGAGTTCCCAAAACAAGACGGGCCAAAACTTGGACCTTCGAGGCTTTTGGTGGGTCTTTCAAATCCAGCAGGGCTGATCCTCAGGAGGCCTGGTGCCACCCCTCAAGATTGCTGACTCGCTTTGAACCCTCGACTAGGCCACTTTTGGTTCCGCTGGCTGCCTGAGCAACATCGGCCATCGCCCAACCATCGTACCATCGTATCTGAAAGGGTTTTCCAGGTCCTACCGAAGACATGGTCGAACACAAACCAAACAGCTCCCCTAGACTTTCAATCGACGAACAAATTGGAACGACCTGGCGACCTGTCAGGTAAAAATCCTTAGTGGATTCGGAATGACCCGCCTATTGAATTAATGGTGGGCCAGGAAGCCGTATGGGAACCTGCCGGTTTCGAAGGAAGTTCACATCCCCGGTCTTCGCCATCCACGTTTCCAGGACGGATCCACGTCTCACCGAGTGCACGGCCGTGGAAGGAGTCCCCGGCCTGAAGGCGAAAACGGGTGGAACAGATGCAATTCACATCGTCCCAATGACCGAAGAAGTGGAAGTGCTTTTCAGTCCAGACCCCGGATTCATGGCCTTCCATTTTGGAGGGCTATGAGGGGTGAATCATGGTGAATCTATAGGCAAAAGAGAAGAAAAACCGTATGATTTACACTTATCGTCCAATTGGATTACAAACACATCTTGTGCCTCCACGTCCTTTTCTCATCTGCCCATCTCTAGAGTTGCTCGGCCAGAAAAAGCAACTGTTTTCCATTGTTTTCCTAGAACGGCTGTGGAAAGAAAAGCGCAATGAACACGCCTGTGGCTTCATGCATGTACTGCCCGTCCCATCTACCGTCCCATGTCCGGTGGCTTCATCGGTCCGTGCCCCGAAGATCGAACCCGATTCGTCCGTGTCCACCGTGTCACTTCGTGGACAAGCGAACGTGACACGCGACACGTTTTCCACGGAAAAGCGTGTCGGCGTGTCCAGACCAAAGGAGACACGAAAGGAGACACTGAAGCTCCAAGCTACTAGCGATGGCCAACCCGAAGAGCGTGGACGTGGGCATCAGTGCCGACCCAAGAGGGGCCACCCCCTCACCCACGTCGCCCGCGTGGAGCACTCGTGTCACCTCCAAGCCGAATTCATCCTCTGCTCGGTGGAGCACTTCGCCGGTGATCTGCTGCCCGGTCTGAGTCGGAGACGAAGCTTCAGGTCGATCAATCAGAACTTGGGAGCTAGAAGCTAGAAGCTACTAGAAACAAGAGCATCGCTACTAGTTGGAATGCACTTGTTACTAGTAGCATTGCCCTTAGGACCTTCTTCTAGGAAACATCATGATGAACCTGAAAGCCCTGTGAAGTATGTGTCAAGCAAGTTGTAGTGGAACAAAGCCTTGCAGTCGTCGATGTTCCTGGTTTGAACTTGAGGCCGCACCAGTCAGTCGGGCAGCCAGTCGGCCCTCCTCAGAGGAATGATATACTAGGTGCGAATTAGAACGAGACTTGTTGGTCAGCCAGATTTGGAACGCACTTTTTCATGAAGGAACGCTCGAAAAAAAGAAAGAGATCTGTCGCGACAGCGAACGCCCAAATGACCAGTCCAAAAAGCGGCACGGTGCCCCCCCAAAGGGACGCAGCGAACAGGTGACACACGCGGCACACGTGGCGCAATGCAAATGACACAAGGGAGCGGGGGCCAATTGCAGTGCTATCTTGGACTCCAGGTGTGGGTGGAAAAAGGTTTGATGTCAATGCATCTGAAGAAAAACTGCTGGAGACTGTGGCCCCTTGGGGAGTCCTTGTTTGGTGTACTGAACCAAACAAGTTCATTCATTGAGACACCCACACCCTGCTTCACCCTACTTGTCTCACAGATCTCACAGTCTATGTGTACAAACCTGGACCTAGCGGCTAGCGCGCTGTGTGGCGCGTCGATCTTGGGGTCTTCCGACTTTGTCCCATCTTCACTTGCCCAAGTGGCCGCTTCGGAGTTCCACACGGCTCTCTGCGCATGGGTGGTGATCCTGCGCCGCTTGCTCCCCGCAAGGAGCGGGGCAGGACTCGGACTGGAAACGCCGAAGGGGCTTCGAGCTATGACAAAACAAGAAGCTACTAGTAACAAGTGCCACGCTAGTAGTAA